TGTATAAAATTTTGTGCTTTATATTCCTTTGTAAAATATAAGAAACTACTAATAATTGGCTAGCAATGTTTTATAACAGAAAAAAAGAGAAAAGCTAGCTTGTATTACTTTAAAAAAAAAAGGATGCTTCATGAATAAAATCATTGGCTCTCTTCTTTTTCTTTCCTGCTCTTAAAAAAGACCACTGTATGTATGTTGATCTCTCTAGGCAGATAACCTCCCCACCAGTCAACCTATGTGTTGATTTCTAGCTTTCCAGTCTACCAGGTCATTATTCTTCAAAAGTTCCTATCTAAAGTTTTCTAATTATAAATCAGTAATTTCATTTTCATTTCCCTTTCAGGATAAATAGGCTTTTGGCTTCAAAGACAAACAGAAGCACAGTTATAATTAAGAATGGGGGGGATTCACAATGATCATCCTGAATCACTCATGCTCTGCAGAAGTCTAGTGAGGGCAGGACTCAGGAACAAGTAAGTGGACAGGATGGAAAGGAAGACAGACAGTAGAAAGCATGTGTGTGGCGGGGAGGCAGAGCAGTCAGATGAAACTGTATGATAGATCTCACAGATCAGAAAAGGTTTCAATGATTTCATAAGTTTCAAATAAGTAACCGCAAAAACAAAGGGAAGAATATAAGTGTCCTGGTTTGATTCTCCATTGCTGTGACAAAACACTCTGACCACTACCAACTTGGGGAGGAAGGGGTTTATTTATCTTACATCTCCCAGGTCACAGTTCATCAGGGAGCCCAAGATAGGGACTCAGGGCAGGAACCTGGAGGCAGGAGCTGGAGCACAGGCCATGGAGGAAAGCTGCTTACTGGCTTGCTCCCCTGGCCCCTGCTCAGCCTGCTTTCTTATGCAACACAAAACCACTTGCCCAGGGATGGCACCACCCACAGTGGGTTGGGCCCTCCCACAACACTCAACAATCAAGAAGATGTCCCTCAGACATGGCCACAGGCCAGTTCTATGAAGGAAATTCCCCAATTGAGGCTCCCTCAACCCAGGTGTGTCAAGTTGACACTAAAGCTATCAAGCACAGCAAGGTAAGAGGGAAATCAAGGCAAACATTTTAAAAGTCCTCTTTCTCTTTGTCCCTGCTTCCATTTGTCATGAAATCTTACAAATATTTCATTCTTTATATGTCTAGTTATCTGTCAGTGCTCTGAAGAGGAAGAGATCAGTGCACTGAGGAAGAGGAAGAGGTATGTGTTTCACATATTTACCTTCAAGATGGGAGCCATAAAGACCGACAGACCAGTCAGAATAAACACAAGGGTTCCAGTGACTCTTTGTTCCCTGAAACCAAATCAAAAGATTACCATTCTACTCTTTATTTTCACAATAACATAATTTTGTCTCTTCACCTTCAAAAAAGACTATACATTGACCAAACCAATGGCTAAAAGAACAAAGGCACTGATAGAAAGCAATGCATACCTCAAGAACATCATATGAATTAACATCACAAAAAATCTTAACACTATTGCAATATGTGATTTGAGTTCATGAAATGATTCTGCTAAAGCTTTTGCTCTTTTTTAGAACCAAGAAAGAAAAACCACTTGCTATTGGCCCATCAATTACTGGCTTCTTTGAAGCCTTTATTTTTCAAACAACTTGTCCTGTTGTATAATTACACCTTCTTTCATAGGAGACAGATATTACATTGTCCCACGTTCTAATTAACAAACAGCTCAGGAAAATTTCCTGAGTGCAATAAATCTTACCAGTCTAACTTCCAAATCTACAACAACAAAAGTACTTTTTTCACAAATACGATTTGTATCCAACACCCTTTCCCCCAAGAAAGAAGCACCCTCTGTTGAGGCGTGGGAAATGATGGCTTTGTTGTGTGAGCTATCTCCCCAAGCTCTTATGAGCAGGGTTTGCTGTTCAGGGGTTAAAAAAGCACTCAGATCATGCAAGGGTCTTCTACCACTGCCCCTCATGGCTACCCAAATTTAATAGCTGAAGGTCAAAGTTTCTCAAGTCCTTAAAGAGACAGAAAATGAATCGGAAAACAAGAACCCCTTTCCTTCCTGGAATGCTGAAAACCACCGGCAGAGTTAAGGGTTTCAGGCTTTACATATGACTGAGGCACAGTGCATTCTACAGAACCACGACCAGCTGTAAATTGAAGAAAATAAATGACCTGCTTATGCTTTATGTTATATCATTTAATGTAGTATTAATCAAGGACATTTACATATCATAAGAAGTTCATGAACTTAAAAATTACTGAAAATTCTTTCTGATTAAAAAAAGTTCCTTTTGGAACAGAAAAATTAGAAATAAATCAATCATCACCACTCTCTCATCCCTAGAGGTGCCCATTTTCTTATGATTGACATAAAGTTGTCTGCACAATGGGTTTCGTAGGGCAATTATCCTGTGACAACACACCTCACTCCAAGAAACTTTGGTTGCTCTCCAGGTGCAGAAGTCTCCGTCTCCATCTTCAGACTGTCAATGTGAGCAATGGAGATGACAGTGGCAGCCACATACCAGGGAAGGGCCATGAAGGAACACACCACCATGAGGATGGCCACCCAAAACAGGTCCAGGTGATATCCAGCGCCTTTCTGCAGAAGAATATAAGAGCACATATACAGAAAATGCTCATATTTGCCATCTAGCTATATTTACATGTGGGAATTATGATTGATAAGAATATCTATTAGAAGGCAAGCTCCTTGAGGGAAGGGACTTTACCTTTAAAGAATTATTAGAACCATTCAATGAAGTAACCATGACAAAACACCTTAAAAGATAGTAACTATTATATAGTAAATACTCAGTAAAGGGAGGTGATGGCAGTTAACACGTCATGACCAGGACCTTAAACGCAGCTCTCTGCCTTCTTTGCTTACCAGTATCTAATAGTATGCTGCTCATCTGGATGGTGCTCAGTACATGTAAAGATTCTAAAACAACTCTTAGATGGTATGTCGATGGCCATTTCTTACCTCTCATGTCATATGACAACAATTGTTTAAGAACCTACTTCCTACGAGCATTAAGGTAATTAATACCCCTTGATCAGAATAGACTGATCTCAAACATTGCCCCATAGTCACAGTAACATTGACTGACTAGAAGAGCAGACAATGCAACAAAAGTTCTAGCTCTTTTATTCACTAAATAAATATTGCTCAGTGTGTTCCCAGTGTTTTTCTATGGTTCTGTTTCTCTGTTCCATTTATGAAGAAATCAAAGGCTTATAACTCCTATGGAGCTGGAGAAACTAGAGCTGTCCATTCTCACAGCATGATATGAGAATGATGACGAATCCAAGGGAACAGAGGGGCTGGCTTTGGAGAATGACACTGTGATTTATACAAGCAACCTGGTGGGTGTTATCCTTCAGATCCTGTCACAGTCTGTCAGAACACTGCTTTCCTCTAACAGAATCACCAAAATTTTACCCCTGGTTTGCACACATGGGTCTAATCATGTTCCCAGAGAACACATAGCAGGCAAGTAGCCGACACAAGAAGGAAAGGCATGTATTCATAATGCTAGGTTTGACTGTGACCAAAAATCTGCCCATGAGACAAACATGATTTGTTTGCATGTGTGTTTGTGCATGTGTGTGCACGTGTGTGTGTGTGTGCATAAAACAAGTTAATTTTTAAGAACACCTAATTATTTGAATTGGGAATGTGATAAGGCAGGAGAAAAGAAGGAAAATGTGAGATGGGTTGATGTCAACTTATTCAATAACGATCAAAGAAGTAAATATCAACAAATAATTGACTAACAACAAGGCATAATTCTAGTTGCTGGTGGTTGCTGGTGACACATGCATAAACAAAACAAAAGAAATCCTGTTCTCACAGAATCCATTCTACTGTACAAAACAAAATAAACAACATAAAATTTAAAACTATATAGTATCCTAGTTGGTAGCAAGTACCAAAAGGAACTATAATAACTTGGGTTTGCACACTGAATATAACGGGAAACAATTGGGGGAGTTTTAAGAGGAAGAGTGATCTGATTTGCTATGTTCTGAGTACTCTGCTATTATGTTAGGAACACATCAAATAGGATCAGGGATAGCAGAACCAGTTAGGAGGCAGTTGCTATAACTGGCATAAGAGACTGTGGTATTTACAAGACAGAAGTGGTTAGATTCTCTGACTGTACCTTGAGACGGAGCCTACAGGATTGCTCCTTCATATCAGTGTGCGTCTTATGGCTCTGTTGCAGGGCCATTTGCGACCTGGCTTTCAGTAGATGTACCAGTGTCTACAGACTCATCTTCTGTTTCTGTCCTGCTTGAATTCTATGCCATCACCACACTCAACTACATGCAGGTCCTTGACGGTATTTCCCTCACCAATGGCTTCTGTGTCGCTGCTCACGTAACATCTACCAGGCACAAACTCCTCTCTTCTTCTCCTTGGCTCAGTCGTACCTATCTGAAGACTAACATTAACTTTCATCTATCCTGGTGGTTTAAGGACACTGAGTCCAAAGACTCAAAAAATCCTAATGAATTTGTTTTTCTAAACACCAACATGCAAGGTCTACTAACATGCAAGAATTATTATGTCTAGGCCAATGTCCTACACACATTAGGCTTGGAAATGATTTGTTCCAAACTACTGCCATAAACTCCTCAGAACTCAGTGCTTATACCAGAGAAGTCATTTCTACAAATTAGCCAGATGTACATGAAAATAAGCCTCTTCTAAGACTTGCCATAGCTGAAAGGATCTGAATGACTAGGACTGGAAGGAAAGGAAAAAAATGTGAAAACACTGGTAATTTCTTATACAAAAACTATGAATGACAGAAAACAGAAGTTTTCAAAACTAACAACAAAGCTTTTATCTGTTGTCTCCCTCCTCCTCAACTACATTGGCTTTTCTGGATTCTCCCTAATCACACAGCAGCCTCCTTCCACCAGCACTCACATCCCTTACTGCTGCCAGAGTGGGGGCTGCCAGTGCAATTCTTCACAATCACAGTCTATTCTCCAACTTGACACAGGCCAAAGTCCATTTTCTCCCTTTCAGGTCCAACTCAAATTCCCCTTTCCTTCACTGGGACCAGCACCCTTTAGCCTTTTATGCTGCCGTCACCACAGGAGCCTCTACGTCACTCTTGTCCCTGAAAGCCTACTGTCCTCATAAACTACTGTTTAAAAATCTAAATCATTATATGACACTTCCTTGCTCAAAACCTTTTTGTGGTTTCCAGTTTTCACCTTATAATAAAATAATAAAAATTAAACATTATAAAATCATATGTAAGGATATACATGAGCATTTCTTCCTGGAACTATTTTGCCTCCTCCTTTCCCATCCTTGCCAACACACAGGAGTGTCTGGAGATATTTCTGGTTATCACAACTTGGGGAGGAGGGGTGCAACTGGCATCCATGGAGAGAGGCCAGACATGGGGACAAATGACTGCCAATGATCAGGAAGTCACTGCCAACAAAGGACTGTTCAAACTGGCATCAATGCTGAAGTTGACAAACCTTGTGTTGTGTGATATGAGTTCACGCCCTTGGACATCATCTTGAGTCACCTATTTTCCTGACCTGCTCTCTGATTCTTGATACAACAGGCTCCTCACTCTGGGGCCTTTGCATTTGTTTATGTCTTTGTATGGTGACTTATCACTGAACCAGCATTTATTAAACAACTATACTGTGTTATGTTGTGTTTGATAATTTTTTTCTTCATCAAGACAAAAATACATGTCCTTGCAAGAATGCAAATTGCTACTGGATAGTTAAGCCCGAAAACAAGTCATCTAATGTATATGCAAGATACAAGGCACAAAGGAAAACAAGTCAGTTCTAACCTTGTTGGTGGACATAGTGGTGAATAAGAAAAATCCACTCAGTTTTAGTTTAAGAATTATCCATGCTGATTTACACAGTGACTACACAACTTTGCAATCCACCAGCAGTGGATGAGGGTTCCCCCTTCCTTACATCCTCACCAGCATTTCTTGTCATTTATATTCTTTATCTTAGCCATTCTGACTGGGGTAAGATGAAACCTTGAACAGTTTTAATTTGCACTTCCCTACATATTAAGAATGTTGAATAATTAAAAAATTATTTATTTTTATCCTATGTATATGAATGTTTTACCTGCATGTATGTAGGTGCACCATGTGAGTGAAACACCCACAGAGGCTAGAAGATGGCATCAGTCCTCCTAGAAATGGAGTTACAGATGGTTATTACCCACCATGTGGGTGCTGAGAACCAAACTCAGGTTCTCTGCAAAAGCAGCAAGTGCTCTTAACCTCTGAATCATCTCTCTAGTCCCACTGAACACTTATTAAAGCAATTTCTTAGCCATTTTTATTCCTTCTTTCGAGAACTCTCTGTTCAGGTCTGTAGCCTATTTTTATAAATTGGGTCATATGTTTTCTTGATTGTTTTTAGAGTCCTTTGCATATTCTGGAAATTAATCCTCTATCAGATCTATGGATGGCAAAGAATCTCTCCAACTTTGTGGGCTTCCTCTTGATTTGATTGTCTTCTTTGCTATATAGAAGTTTCTTAGCTTAATGAGGTCCCACTAGTCAATTGTTGGCTTAATTTCTGAGCAAATTAAGTCCAATCTAGAAAGTCCTTCTTGTACCGGTATCTTTTAGGGCACTGCCTGTGTTTTCTTCTAACATTTCAGCATTTCAGGTTTCACACTGAGATCATTGATCCATTTGGAGTTGACTTTTGTGCACAGTGATATACAGAAGTTTAATTTCATTCTTCTACATGGAAAGATCTAGTTTTCCTAGCACCATTTGTTAAAGATGCTGTCTTTCCTCCAGTGTTTATTTTGGCATCTTTGTCAAATATCAGGGGGCTGTAACTGTGTGCATTTATGTTTGCGTCTTCCATTTTATTCGATTCATCTATATGTCTGATCTAGTAATACTATTCTAAGGACTCAATATTTCTCTACAGAGATACATGCTCAGCCATATACTTTAGACACAGGACTTGGAGCAATAGAGCTGGAACTGATCTGAAAGCCTCCTCCCCAAAGACTAGCTCTCATAGTATTAGAAGATACTATGAAGGCTAACAAGGGAAAACAAATCAATGAACCTACCCAGATGAAAAGCCTGGGAACCACAACAATGAGTGGCCCAGTAAATCATCCCTATTGGTCTAACAGTGGCACTTTTACCTTTGGGGTAATCTACAGATGCTATTTGAATTCCTGCTCGATAGGAGGGAATTCATGCATGGCCTGTAAACATAGCTAATTTCACATGGTTGGAGAGGTCATAGACCCTAGAGAAGAACTGACTTCTGTCACTTTCCCACACCAAATAAATCCTTACTATATTCCTAATACATAACCTTACATTTATAGACAAGTGTATCTCTCATCATTGATTAAAAAAAAAAAGACATCTCTTTTTGCAAAAGATGGAGACTATTACAAAGTTTCACAACTGGTCAAAATACAGAATAAGTGTCTGTGAAGTGTCCAGTCCTAAGGGATACATCTACAATGCAATCTCTACACCTAGGGTACAGGGAACATCATGGAAGTGAGGGCAGAGACTCTAAGAGCCAGAAGGCCAAGACACCTGCTCA